TTTTTTGCCTCTTTTTTGTATTTCGAGAAGGTCTTTTGTGGATTCAAGATGATTTATTCCGAAAACAGTTTGAAAATGGAAAGGCTTACAAAAACAAGTTCTTATCTTGACAAGCTACCAGTATAGTTTTATGGTACTGTTCGCCGTCGCAACCTCGTTTTCCAGGATGCTCAGGATGCTCCGTAGCGCACAGTTTGGAGCCTCTTGATACTTATCTAGTCCTTTATGAAACGCTCCTCTAATTTTGGGTTCAAAATGCGAAGTACTACAGCAGTTTGTGAGAAAAACAGATTCTTTTTTTCGCTGTTCACTGCGTTGCTGTTTAGACTATCTGATTATAGAGAGACTTGAAGTTTCTAAAAATTAGTTCCTCGACATGAAAAGAGAGGCGGTTAAATTTCCTCCTTTTACGAGCTTTCGGGCTAGGTTTTGCTTTTTCTGCAGCCAATATTGATATCCAAGTACATTTTTATGCTGGTGCTCACCATTCTTTTACTTGCCTAAGCACTAAGGTGAATCATCGTTGTTGTTGTTCTATTTAAACCAGTTTTAGACTTTACGGATTTTACGAAGATTCAGTTGTACATAGCTTAGAATCAGTCAGCCTTCATTGGATTTTACGTGCCTTGCACTTCTGAATTCAAAATAAAAAACTGGGCATTTCCGTCAGTCTTGGAGGAAAATTGGTTTGTTTCATTTGATCAGTTTATAAGCCTTTATGCAACTATACTCGATTGGAGCTATGTAAATTCTTCATTTCTCGAAATTCTAGAATATACTTCGTTTCCTCTCTTGCTCTTATTTTGTGCAGTCATGCCTCCGTCTTGACGATCACTAGTTCTGTAAGTCGTGAATTTTCAATTTTCTCTCGGCACAGTTTTCCAAACGCGGTTACCGGTAACACTAGAAAATATTTAGCTGCAATTTTCGTGACATTGAGAAACGATAAGATTGTTCATAATCTGTAGAATGTCAGAGACTTGTTTGGTGGTCATGGGATGGGTTTATTGTATTACAGGATATACACCTGGTATTCGACCGCGCTGGATGGATGCGGTTTTCTGTTTACTTGTTCAGGAGTGAAGGTACAGCAGGTCGCGTGAGAGTTTCGGGTTTTAGGTTATTGTTCAGGGAATTGCTGGGATTAGGCTTGTCAAGGTTTGCTTAAAATTTTTTTCATTGC